TAAGTGTAAAAAGCGTCCAGTCTGTCGCTTGTCGTTTGTCGTGTGCAGTGGAAAGGAGGCTTAAGCGTTTGGACCTGCATAGGCGCATAACTAACGTGATCTGCTCTGGAAATTAGAGCAGTTTTTAGTTTAGGTCAATGGCACGGTCAATTTCAGTTCTTTAAAATAGCAACACGCCAACAATACACCTGTACACACCTCCTTTATAGACCAGCACACCCATCAGTCCACAGAGTGTGCGCAAAATGAATTCGCTATTTAAACAACGTGGTCGGAAAACGTGGAAATTACTGTTGCGCTGGTCTGAAAATAGCAGCAGATCACGCCAAACACGTCTTGCATCTGTATGTCTTTTAATATATATTTATTTTACAATAAATAATAATGACTGAAACATACGCATATTTAGGAAAAGGCAGGTTATTAAAGATAAGCAGGTTTCATTCATTAATTTCCTTCGAGTTAGTCCTCGATTTATCATGAGTCACCACAATGGAATGAACCGCCAGCTAATCTATATAAGTTTTACGCTGCGGATGCCCTTTCAGCCACAACCCAGTACTGGGAATCGTGGGTTTTATTTGATCAAAGTTGTTCAATTAAAGGACTGCCTCTGTAGTCCTAGCATCAAGCATCTCTTTCTTTGTCTTTCCCTCTTTCTCTTCATGGCCTTGTTTTTTTTTTTTTTTTTTTTAGAGCATGCCAAAGATAAACAAGTGTTTATTAGTGAACTCGATGCTCTGCATGTTTTGGCGCAGTGTTGTTTGTCAGGAAGACGTGGGCAGAGTAGCGTGTGGGTCACCTTCTGGAGGCTTCAGAGCCGTGTGTTTTTGTTGCGCCGTTGTGTGTGTGTGTGTTGTAATGTGTGTTTGAGCTGGGAGTGGGCGACTGGATGGTGTTATCTAACTTTCAGAAAGCTTTCAGATCGTTCATTGTCTGTGAACCGCCGACCTCCTCCTCCTCTGTTTTGACTGGTTGCTAAAGACGTGAAAAATGGATTGAAAGCCCGAGTGCTCGCGTTTGTAGATAGCAGGGTTTGGCGGGATAAAAATGTTGATCAAATTATTTCCATTAATTCAATTCAATTCAGCTTTATTTGTATAGCGCTTTTACAATGTAGATTGTTTTAAAGCAGCTTCACATAAATGGTCATAGTAACCGGATCAGAGTAGTTCAGTTTTTAGTGTTTAAGTTCAGTTCAGTTTAGCTCAGTTCAGTGTGGTTTGAAGTCATTACTGAGAGTCCAAACACTGAAGTTCATCGATGAGTATATATATAGATGAGTTAACTGAAATGAACTAGGTGGCACGGTGGCTCAGTGGTTAGCACTGTCGCCTCACAAAGCAAGAAGGTCGCTGGTTCGAGTCCCGGCTGGGTCAGTTGGCATTTCTGTGTTGAGTTTGCATGCTCTCCCTGTGTTGGCCTGGGTTTCCTCCTGGTGCTCCGGTTTCCCCCACAGTCCAAACACATGTTAAATTAAGCTTTTACATGTCACTTTAAGCTGATTACTAGTGTTAGTATTATGTGCTGTCATCATGGCGAAGAGAAAAGAGTTTAGATATTTAACTAGAACCTAAAGTTCATTGATAAACTTTGATGTTGGCTTGAGAAAGCCAACGTGACTGCGCTAGGACTAGAAATGGCAGTTGGCAGGAAGCACGGCGGCGGTTGCTAAGTGGTTGCTAGGCAGTTGCTAAGACGTTTATGGCATGGTTAGGTGGTTGCTAAGAAATTGTTAAATGGCAAAGCTCGTGTACATGTTTGATCAATTTCTGATACTTAGTAGGCATTTCTAGCATATGTTATTGCATTTAGATAATCATTCATAGCATGTAGCTAATCGTTATTAGCACTTGGCTTCCATTATCATTGTTACCATGCATAGTACACAGGAAGTCCCATTTGCTAGCATGAGTCAAACGAGCCAATGCCCAGCTCCCTACGATGTTCTGATGTAGAGATATTGCTGTTTTTAAATGGTTGCTAGGTTATACTGTTTTATTGCTATGGGGACATTTGACAGGTTAGTGATGATACATCAAAGCTTCTTGGCAATATGAGTGACCTTAATCAACCCCGATGTTTCTATGACAGTCTTTATGATTGTCAAAAACTGGACTTGAACATTATGTATTCCTGGTGTTGGGTTGCGGCTGGAAGGGCATTCGCTGTGTAAAAAAAGTGCTGGATAAGTTGGCGGTTCATTCCGATGTGGCGACCCCTGATTAATAAAGAGACTAAGGAATGAACATTATGTAAAAATGGCTTGCCGTATTTTTTGAAAATACAATGCTTAATAAGTGTGAAAGTGATACATGCAAAAATGTCTTGCCATATCAGTAAAAAATATGGAGTTTAAGTCAAAAATGGCTTGCCATATTATAAGAAAAATAATGCTTAAAAATTATTTATTGGAAAACTATAAGTCTGATAAACCTTAAAGATATAGCAACAAAATCTAACGCATCTAAATACAGCTTTTGACCAAATTTGGGGCTTGTATAATTTTTGGTCCCACTTTATATTAAGTGGCCTTAACTACTGTGTACTTACATCAAAAAATAAATACAATGTACTTACTGTGTTTATAATGTATTTGAGAACACTTGTGGTGCTTTTGAGTTGGAATAGAGGTTGGGTTATGGACAGGTTTGGTGGCATGGGTAGGTTTAAGGGTGGGTTAAGGTGTAAGGGATAGTCAACAGTGTATTTACAAATGTAATTACAAAAGTTAACTACAGATGTAACTACATACATGTATTTAATCAAGCGTAAGTACACAGTAAATACATGTATTTACACAATAAGTACATTGTAACAAACTATTAATACCTATGTAAGTACATATTAGTTAAGGCCACTTAATATAAAGTGGGACCTAATTTTTTTATATGCCCGGATTATAAAAATGTAATATTTTAAATATTTCATAAAAAAAAAATGATAAGTCTTATAAGCATGAGGAGATATAGCAACAATCTTAAATGCAGAAGGCACATTTTGACCACATTTGGGCCTTGTGGCATGAACGGCCTAGGAGGAGATACGTTTGTTTTCAAGGACAGAGTAGTATAACAGTATGTTGGCTTTCTCAAGCCAACATAAATAACTATTATGTTTAAAAATATGTTGATCAAAATCTTCCCACCGTTAAACACTCCTATGAGACGGTAATGTTGAGCTGAGTGTGTTGTGAACGCAGGTGATCGAGCAGCATGTGGACGGACGCTGGAAAGGACACATTCACGACACCCAGAGAGGAACAGACCGAATCGGATACTTCCCACCCTCCATAGTAGAGGTCATCAGCCGACGCTCAGGTACTTCATCGTGGGGAATCATGGGTTTTCCTCCAAGATTTCACAGATTTTTGGAGCTTCGCTGCATATTTTCATCTTAAGAGATTTTGTCACATCCATTAACCTTACAAATAACAGCGTTTGCTTCGCTGAATTAATAACAAGCTAATATTTGTGACTCTGTTTCTTCCATCTCACTGCTTCCCATGTAATATATATGGCTGCGTCTGAAAGCTGAAATTGCTGATTATTGAGATCGCAACATATATAATCTATATTATATAGAATATATAATAAAA